TACTACTGTCGTACGTACTACTACTCTCTCTCTCTCTCTCTCTCTCTCTCTCTCTCTTCTCTCTTTAATGCAAGTGTTTTCATACCTGGAAGACCCCACAAAGATATTCCTTAATGACATGACTGATTCAGTTTCTCTGTACTTGTAGGTGATTCTGACATTATTAAAAGCATACCTGGGGATCAGTGATATTAAGGGAGAGGGTCCAATGTTATTTTAGGAAGGTTTTGTTAGAAATTTTCTCTGAAATTCTGTCTTCCTTTTCCATGTAGACCTTCTGATCGGTTAAAACTGATGATTCTCACCCTTGTCTTTGTTTTATCATTGATTCTGATTACGATTTGCTTGTATTTGAATTGTGAAATCATGAGGTAAGTAGAAATCGTGGCATTTTGGACACTTTAAAAATGGAATCTTATTCATTCACTTGTAGCTAGTGGTATAAGAAAATTGTGCCTTCCTAGGAAACCTGTTTTAAGGCTCTTGATCAATGGCTCCATAAATAACCCTGCCTGCAATCCAATTGTGGGAAGGCTGCATGTATATCCGACTTTTTGGATAAGAAAGATTTTAGAACATGTTGCATTCACTATGTTAAAATGGGACGGTTAAAGAAAGAATTCAAAAAAATAATATTTATATTTTGCGGAAAAGAAAAATTGCAAATTTAAATTCCTACGTAGTTAGCAAATTGCCTTTTAAAATGTGATATTATTCATAAAATCGGACTTTTTAAGAAAAGGGTGCTGTTTGTATAGAGCTTAGGCTCTAAACAATCAAATTAGAGCTTATTTTCCAATAGCGTCGAGAAATGTGGTTTCAATATTGGAAATCTTTGTGATAGCATTAACATATATTTTATATTTATTTATATAGTTTGAAGTTTCAAAAATAATATAGATCGACAGATCCATGATAGCTTGAAAAATCTGGAAAATTGACGGTTCAAATATGCGGTACAAAATACGCTACTTTCAATACTTGAAATTAATTTTGTTTTCATGTTTAGGCATGTCGATGCCTATCAATTTGAAGATATTTGGGCATCAAAAACCACCTCTTCTAGTGAAATTTTTTTTAGGTAGGCTCAAATTTGAGAGGTTTGGTTATATATAAAGTTTTCTTTTAAGAAAAATGTTTGGAACGAAAGCTTAGAAAAAAAAAAAAAAAAGCCCTTATTTGGTAAAAAAAAAAGTATAAAACGTACTTTTAACAAAAACGACAAAAAAAAAGAAAGCTTATTTTTTCCAAAAGAACGTATGAAACGTGTTTTTAACAAAAATGACTTGATGATGACCAAAAAATGTATCCTTTTCTTACCTGTAAATATTTTTTGAAATATAAATTTTTTATTTCCTGTTATGTGTACTGCTATTTTCGTACTTTCTAAAAAACATATTATTTCTAAACAAAATATTTCTATAGTAGCTTAGAAAGAAACATCCAGAGTATTTCTTTCTAATTTGAAACTTAAAAGATGCAATCTCATGTTGATTTTACCTCACAAAGTTGAACGTCACAAAGTAGAAACAAATTGGAATAACCTCACAAAGTTGAACGTCACAAAGTAGAAACAAATTGGAATAAAAATGCACGAAAGTCATTAAATCAAAAGTCCTCAAATTTTGGCTTGATAACGATCTACCCATAAATCCATGATATATATTAGAGCTTAAAGGCATTACTCATCCATTACATATATTAGAGCTCAAAGGCATTACTCTTTTAATATAAAAGCCTAATTTTTTTTAAAAAAAAACCAAACCTAATCTTTCATCTTTGAGATTTTGTGTATTTGCATGCCCTCTCTCTCATCCAAGCTTATACCTAATCTTATGAGATTTTGTGTATTTGCATGTCCTCTCTCACCCAAGCTTATAACTAATCCTGTTGTGAGGAGATTTTTCTTCGAGCAACTTTGTGACTGTTTTTCTGTGGCTGTGGGCACCTCATAATGAAGGCTTTGGGTGCAGAAGAGATTCTTTTGGGTTAGAAGCGAAGGTTGAACAGAAGCTTTGATAAATAAAGAATTTAGGGTTTTATTCTTCTTGCTCTGGGAAAAGTTCGGACGCTCTTCTTTTTCTCTCTAACCTAATTGCTGTGTTTGAAATAGGAGGATTTTTATGCTAGATAGAGAGAGGATAAGGGATGGATGCTATACCATGAGCAAGTTAGAGAGTGAGATTAGGTTTATAGAAAGCAGATTTTAGAGAGAGGTAAGTTCGATTGGACGGTTGGTGACTTTAGAGCATATTTGAAAATGAAAATATTTAAAACACAATTTGTTTGGTTAGAAGGGGTATGGTTAATCATACGGTTCACACCTCATCAATTCATATAGTGATGTTTTGGGTCACCTATCAACCCTAAGAAATCAATGGTTTGGCATGAAATTATGCTTTGAATCATAGTTATTGAGGGAGGGTCATCATAACATAATCAAAATATTTAATAAGAAAAAATTCGTGTATTTTTTTTATGTATGTGCTTAAGTAGGTGTGATGTTAAACTTATCTGATTTTTTGAGCCTAGTCCGATATATTCGCGATATTTTTATATGAAGTATTTTTGTTGATCTATATTCTTTTACTCGATTTTTTCATCCGAGTTGTTTAAATAAAAATGATTTGTTTTCAATTTTATAGTGAACCGATTTATTGCTAATCTCTGACTTCCTAACTATGAATTCCTATAGGCTATAGTTGATGTTATCAAACCTTAAAATTTTAGATCGAAAAAACATCTTTGACATATTTTGGAGGGAGATCACACAAGAATAGGCGAGTCTGTTGACTCACCAAATACTCTTCCTTTAGAAAAATAGACGGCTCGTTTAATTTGTTATGAGATGTTTTTTTTTTAAGTTTGTGTTTTTGTTTTTCATACCCGAGGTTGAGATGATCTATCGGAGGCTTTTTCAATTTTAAGAATATTTGTGGTGCACTTTGTGGATACTTAATATAAGTTTTTTGTTTTATTTATAGTGAAGATGAAAAAAAATAAACAATAAAATAGATGAGAATTGTGCAAGATCGATTTGAATCGCCGGGTTATTGATAAACTCGTTCCTTTGTTCTTATTACTGGTTTGTTACCAGGTCATAGCTGTTATTATGGAGTTTCCTTCTTGTAAAAATTTGTATTTTCGTGACCCTTGTCGTAAAATTTTTGTAATTAAGGGATTATGATCATGCATTCTCGGTAAATATCCACCCTTTTGGGATAACAGAAAGATATATACAATTTTCTCAAATTAATGGTTCCCTTTGAATTGGGTTGGGTATATTCTGAACAAGTTGAAAATTGTTGGGATTATAATTAAGTGGACTGGGGAAGGATAAGGGTGGCAACGGGTTGGGTCTGGCCGGACCCAGTATTCAGGTCCAAATTGTAGACCTATACCTGGACTGAAGGTTGGGTCTCCCCGTCGAGTTTCAGGTCTGGTCTGGTCGGGTCCATTGCCACTCCTAGTGAAAGATGATATCCCATTTCATTATCACTGTACATTGAATTGATGGGGCTGTGATTTGGTGGCCACCCCCTAGTTGTAGGTCTCTGGACTTGTAGTGGTTATTCCCACTTAAGTAATTATACTTTTAAGAATTGCATAATTGAACTGCATGAAATTAAAAGCCATACAGAACTACAAATTGTGAATGGGTAGCCCTTTGACTTGTGCGCGTTCTGAGTTTGAGTTGAACCTAGCTTTTCTCAAAGAGAAAATGGAAAATACGAATTTAGGATTTCTCAATATGAATGAGGAAAATGAAAAAATATCATGAAGTGGGAGCTTCGGATTGCTTGCTCTGGATGTGGTTCGGGATGTGATTCGACTTATTTTTTAAACATTGATAAGTAATTTTTTTTAAATTTTTTTGACGAGCCTGCTTGAAATTGCATGAGCCGGCTTGGAGCTGGTTGGTAACTGGTTAAAGTCTAATAAACCATTTTTGTCTTGTTCCAGTATTTCCAATAGGTTTTCGAAGTTAATCCCCAAGAATTTGATAGCTTTTTATGGGAATGGGTGCGTAATTGGTTCGACCCATCAATTTGGTTTTTTAGACACTGTTGATAAACTGGTTCGACCCACCAATTTGGTTTTTTAGACACTGTTGATAAATAATAAGCAGGGGAATTCGAATTTATAGTGTACCATCAAAATGGAAAAAGTTAACTCTCTCTCCTTTTTTTATTTATAGGAGTACTTCACTTTATTGATTAAATGGATCCATTACAAACATAACAAAGATTAAAATAAAGCCATCGAAACTACTAATGAATCAGATAGGGCTCCCTTCTTGGGCAAATCATTAGCTATGAAATTTGCCTCCCTATACACATGATCGAAAGAAATAAAAAATCCTGCTACCAAATCCATAACTTGCATCCAAATATATCTGAGTCACCATAGAGGTCTCAAAGATAAATTACACCAATTTATAACATTCAGGGAATCACCTTCAACTGTCAGATAATTACCTAATTTTTTTTCTTTCCAAATAGATAGCCCTTTAACAAGGGTTAACATTTCAGCATGATTAGCAATAACCTCTCTACAGGGAGCAGCATAGCAAAAAACAAATATTACCATTATAATCACGACATGCCCCCCAATTCCTACCTTTTTTGGATTCCCAAACGAAGATCCATCAAAATTAAGCTATAACAACTTCTACTTGGTGGTGTTCACCTGCATTTTGGTCTTACCTGTCTGAAAGGAATGCAGTATTATTTTCCACATCAAGTTTAGATACCCCCGCCCCTCCTTAGCAATACTAAACCAGCTCCATGCTCTGAAGAATCTTATTCTTGATCTGTTGGATATCTGGCGCTACTTCATCAAACATTAACTCTCTCTCCCTCTCTAATAGGTTAATGATGTTATCGGAATTGGACTAGCAACCAAATTGGTGAGAGATTTAGTCAAGCCAAAATGCATAACCAATAAACTAAGCATGAAACAAAACACGTAGAAGCCTCTCGAGAGCATATAAGCATAGTCAATAAGAGAGACTTTTCTTTAGCACCAACAATGAATCAAGTATATTGTTCAACAAGGGGGACCAAATTGGAATGTATCACTGTCTGAAAGGAAAAAAAAAAAACATGGAAGAAAAATCCAGGAGCCTCAAAATTGGAACGGCATCTCTTTCGTGTAGCCAAGCTCGTCGAGGTGAACTGCCACAGTCTTGTCCATTTTGCAAGATCTGCAATGCAAAACAGTTTTAACTTCACCATCTATCGCAAATTATATATA